AAATCATGCGTTCAAACCAGTGCTGTGGTCTGCTGAAGTCTGTTTCAAAGGTTGCAGTGTGTCTCCTGGGAAAACACAACATGACACATTGGCAGAGTTCTCGGCAGCAGTGATCCCAACGCCCGTAGATAGCGGATAAACTGGTGATATCTGGTGATCATTTACCTGTAATCCCTTCCCCCTATTATTATTTGGGGGAGGGGGGTTTAGTATTAGGGGGAAGGGATTAATGGTTTGGAGCAATCTTCCATAATCTTCCTGCAAAGTGGCCCCAGAGTGAAATGTGAACGTTGGTGTTACCTCACTATAGAGACTAATTCAATATCTACCATAAGCCCAACAGTTATTGGAGTTTCCTCAACCATCTGACAAAAACATGAAATAAGTATAAATCCTCATTTTGGTGAACTAAATCATGATATATTCCCATGTTTTGATGGTAAAGAAACAACAATAATCAACTATAAATCACCATTGATCCTAATGTTTAATGGCTAAATCATGCTAAATCTCTTTTTCTTCGTCCATTTTTGATCTTATTCATCCTCCATAAGCCATAAAATGGTGGCTCCATCTTCCGCGCGTGGCGCCACGCGTGGCGCCACGCCACCTTGGAATTTAGGGATGGAGCGCTCCGCACGCGCCAGCCTTGGTTGACCAAGGTGACCCCTTTTTCCCATGGCTTTTTGGGGCCCAAACAGTTGCGGAAAACCACGGGAAAAACCATGAAATGCTCTATAAATGTAGGTTTTCCCTTTGGGAAATGAAACCATGAACTATATGATTTATGGGTGGTTAGTCACATGATTAAATCCGATCGCCATTAGATAATTCGTACGTGGTTAAAAATGGTGATCCGTTTATCATCATCATCATCATGATGATCATCATCATCATCACCATTCATACAAAAATTAGCCTCATGATAATATATATATATATTACTAATCATTGATATTCAATAAGCATCCTACAATATTTAATACCCTCTGGTTATTTAACATAGCAACGGAAGCCATGGCCCGTTTATGGATGATTTACATATTGAAAATGGTGGTTTTCCCTATAGCCTATAGCTATCTGAAACTGCCAGAGAGGAATAAACTATGCCGTCCATGTGGAGGTTCAAGTGGGCGGCAGCGTCCAGAAACATGTCAATATATATGTCATATGTCTGAGATATTTTGAACGATAAACACTGGTTGGTTGGTGGTATACCTACCCCTCTGAAAATATGAGTTCGTCAGTTGGGATGATGACAATCCCAATATATGGAATGGAAAGTCATAGAATTCCATGGTTCCAGTCACCACCAACCAGAATATAGTAGAAAAACACCATTTGCAGATTCTTCATGTTTTTTTTTTTGGCTGGTACTGGTGCTTGAACTGAATATTGGCTACGCATTTTTTCAATGCACTGGTGAATCATCTGCCAAAAAGGCCATGTTTGGACACGTTCATAACCAGCTTCTAGGAGTTCAGTTGAGGCAAATGTCTTTCACTATGGTAAACCCCCCTCCGGTAATCCACAATTTATAGATGATTTTCCCATTGAAACATCAATTTATAGAGGATTTTTCATAGCTATGTTGAAGTACCAAAGGGATCCAAAGGGTATATTCACCATTTATAGGTGATTTTCCTATGAAAACCCCCATAAGTTGGGATATACGCCCTCTTATAACTGCCACAACTGCGGTTATTTCATGTTATAGATCCATTCATGATACATATCCGTGAAAATAAATCGAAGTTCTCCAGCAAGTTGCGTCCTTCACATCGTACCAAATACCTCTTGAGGCCCAGCTCAGCAGCTGGTACCTGGTCAGGGTGTGACATGGCTCTCCTCAGCGGATCTTTGCCGAGTTAACCTCTGGTAAACTGTCACATAAACTATGATTTAATGGGGATTTCATGGTGATTTAGTGGGATTTCTGGGAAAAATGGTGAAAGGGGGAAACTAGGACAAGAGAGGTTGGAGGTTGGTTGGGAGGTTGTTATGTTTTTGTTCAATATTGTAAATCTAAATGTTTGACTGTTTCGTTTTGATTATCTTGCTAAATGTTTTGTTGAGGTTGTTGTGATAATGTTTGGTTTGGATGAGGGTAGGTTTTGTTGAGGGTGTTTTGGCAGTTATGGTTTTTATGTTGTTGTTCAATGTGTGTTCCTTGGTTTTGATGATTTACCGGGACATTGTTAGGGGTGGTTTAGGGTCTTAACTTTCACTGTTGATGTTTGGGTTGAATGGCGGTAGGATTTGTTTAGGCTGTTGGGGTTTTATGTTTGGATTGAGATTTCATATGCCTAACATTCCAGTTTCATCATCTCCATTTCTCACAACTTTCGGTTTTTCCTTTCCCTTCAGTTTGGTTTGATGCTTGATGCTTTCTTCGTGCCTTTTGACCTGATATTTGTTTATGATACTTCCGCACACGGGACATTCAGTCTTCAATTCATTAGTGTCTTTCTTTTCCTCTGTTGTTTGTTCCTTTCTTCTTTGATGATACTGTATGGCATACTGTCTCAATTTGTCCCTGTTTTTCTCTCTGTATCGTTGCTTTGCTTCTAAACAGTTTTTACACTGATTACATTCATCTCTGTAATAGTTTAACGGTTGAAAGACTTTACATCTAGAACACTGCTTTTTGTCAGTCATTATACCTCTACAAGTTTAAGGGGTTATGTCTTTAAGGGTTTTTTTAGGGTGGATTACTTCATAATATATTTTGTTAAGATATTATGAATTAATCTTTTATGCTTTCCATTCACCTATTCCATCCCACCAGTGTTCAATTACTCTCATTTGTGATAAGCAGGGATTGTTTGTATCGTTTAGTTCATCCATCGCTATTGATAAAAGGGTCATATTAACACTCATACAAAAACACCCACCTCTTCTATTCAATTATTTTCCGCATTGTATGATTATATCTTTATTGGTGAGGTTTTCATAAATTCGTTTGATGATGTCAAGTTGTTTGTGTATAAATATTTTAAACCGTTCAACATTACTTTCACTAACAACTCTATCAAGCACAGATTCCCAAAAATCAAAGTCTTCACGTGGTGGTAAGGGATGACATTTTACAAAGTCTCTAATCTCTTCATCTTCTTTTTCTATTGCTTTTCTTTCCCAGTCATCGTCCTCGCTTCCACTACCGAAGTCAGCATATATACCGATATTATCTCTATCTATAACCTGAATTTTTGCTTTACTCATTTTCTCTTACTATATATAGGCATTTTTTCTTTAAGTATTTACCACTTTTTGTAGATACTCTTTTATTTTTTCTACATTAAAATATTTTTCATAACCATTGAAAAGTTCTTCAGTGTATTCACGCAAAAAAAAATCCAAAATGTCTTTCACCTTAAACTCCCTATTTCTGAATGTATAAGTCCAATCGTTTTGAGGAAACCACCACTCACGCTTGTTTTTACAATACGTCATATATGTAAGGTCGTGAAAGTTTTTAAGGAAGTGATAGGTAGTTTTCCACTCCTTTTTCACAAAAGACTTAATCGCCATTAAGAACAGTTTGTCATGTTTGAATTCTTGTTTGAGTTTGAATGTATCCATTAAAACGTCAATTTCTCTTTTCATTTGCCGAGTGTTTGTTCGGTTCGTGTTGGATAAATAAAAAGATGATTTCTCCATCCTTGTTTTAAAGAAATAGATTGTCTTTTCTACTTTCGTCAGTTTTTTATCATTAAAATAGTCAAAATGATAATTGAAATCTGTGTATCTACGCTCCTTATCGTTTAAGTCTTTACATTTTGAACAGTGAAGGTTGTAATCACATATCTCATCACAAATTCCAGCGGGAAAAATATTGTTTAGCAAAACCTTTAGGTTAGTCAGTCTTTCTTACAACATCCGCAGTTTTTATAAGTAAATAGCATTCTCTTACTATATATAGGTAATTGTTCTTTAAGTAGTTTTTGGAGGCTCGCTCAGTTTTTGGGTTTTCTGTTGTCCCTTATCCACTGTAATCGTTTCATTCGATGTGTTTCACTACTATCACTTTCATATTCTTCATCTTCAGGTTCTTCTTTCTTGTCTTCATTTCTTACTTCTTGTATCATCCGTCTTATTTTGTCTATACCGTGTTCTCTGTCAAATCCTTCCATTACATTTCTAACTTTTTCAAGACCGATGTGTCGTTCAATCTCTTCGTCAGTCATCTTTCTAAATTGTTCTTTATATTCTTCATCATACTCTTCTCCGTCTTCATCTTCAAAGTTCATAAACATGTCCATTCGTTGCTTTTCCATTTCCAGAAGTTTGTTTTCCATTTGTCCTATCAAATGATTATCCATAAATACAACCATACAGAATCATCAATAACCTTAACCATACCCATAGATTATTCATATCTACCTCATTACATCAATAACTACATCTTGACTAATCCATCAGACACTCCACAATTTCGGTGTAAAAAAATGTCAAACGTTAGGTTTTGAAGTCTGCTTGGCAATTTCACATCTTGAACCCTTCTCCACTTCCACGCATTCACTCGGTCTGAAACCACCCTTCAACGAAGATGATGAAGACAATGTCTTCTAAACTTTGGCATTGGCAGGATAGAACCCCATTACGCTGGACAAAAAAACGCTCATATCATATGAGGTCGGGCTCATACCTGATGAGGGTAGGCTCATATGAGGATGATGTCATCATCATCCAAAATCCCTACTAAAAATGACTAGAAATGAGGGTTGTCTCATATGGGGATGAGGTCACACTAGATGAGGACGGGCTCACACCTGATGAGGGTTGTCTCATCTCCTATGATGTTGCGCTCATACCCTTGTGAGACTGGGTTCACCCTTGAGGGAATGAGGGAGTGCTCATCAAGGCAAAGGGTCTCACTCATCAAGGTGTCTCGCAAAAGGCCTACATTTTTTTCATGAAGGCTGTCCAAAGGTGTCTGTCTGTGTGATACCGCAATTGGGCAGTGATTGTCTGAACATTACAAACGCCCCTCAGTGGTTTTAGAAGTCAAAGACCTTCTTGACCGCCTTGTGCTGACAGTCAAACTGCAACTCATAGCCACCATCATCTCGGGGCGTGAAGATGTTGGTCTTGACCATATGGTGGATAAAGGCCTCCTTGGGGTCTGCACCACCCAAGGTTGCCAACTTGCCGGATGTAGCCGCTCTGATGTCATCAATGTCGATCGGCTCATTCAAGGCCTCTGGTAAAGTCCCTTGACATTTGTGAAGGGCTGACCGTTGGTTTCCTTGATGGTCCTCACCCACCCTTGCATCTCCTTGTTGCAAAAGGCTTCCTTGTCTGCTGATGCGCTCAACTTCCCCAACTTCTCAAAGGTTCTGGGCATGTTCATCAGCATCTCCTCGCTGATGTTTTCCTCACCCAAGGCCTTGAGGTATGCCTTGGACTTGGAGATGGGCAATTCCCTTCCAAGCATCTTGTCAAGACGAGGCTCTCCTAGGGACAGCATCATCAAGCCCTCGCTGGAGGAGATGAGGGCTGATGACACATGCCTGTCTGCGCAAAGGTATTTGACCTGCTTCACGAAGAACTTCGCATCAAAGTTGGTGGGGAAATGCAGGTTTTCTTTGCCCGTGGTCACCTCAATGATGTTGGAGACATGTGGCTCATCTATTCCGTGCTTTGTCACAGCCACCACATCAAAGCCGAGGCGAACCGGCTTCTGGGTCTTCTTGGTCACTTTCTCAAAGACCTCGGTCACCACATCCTTGTGGGTCTTTCCCCAATCTACCCTCATGCCATCCAGAAGCCACGGGAGCTTCCAAATGTTTTTGCGGAGCTCATTGTGGATGGCTCGATGCACATCGTCGTGGGAGACCTCCAGGAAAAAGGGGTTCTCGGCCTCCCACAGAACATGCTGGAGCGTGGTGGTCTTCCCAGTGGCTTGCATGCCAATGAGAGCCACCATGCCATTCTTGCCAAGACCTCGGTGGATGGCTGGGAGGTCAAAGTTTAGGAACTCCAATTGGAACTCCTCAGGCTTTTTTGGGCGGAAGCGCCCCTTTTGGATGGCACGAGCCATCCGGTCTTGCTCGGTGGCATTCCACGCAATGGCTATGACAGAGCCGCTGACCCCACTACCAAAGATGAGGGGCACACTTTTCTCCCCAATCCATTTCGCCATTTCGCACACGAACCCAGCATCCTTTGGCTGTTGTGGGGTTTTGAGCCCCCAATGTTACTGGAGAAAACAAAGATGGCAGACAAGAATGTTCAAAATCAACACCATCACATACCATCACAAAAATAACAACAACATGAGAGCAAGTCTGCACAATGACGCAAGATGACACAAGATGACACAGGACAAGTTCGCACAAGTCCTTTCTCCAAGCATTGGGTGTCCCGACGTTTTGAAAATGAGGGCGTCAGCGAAGAACAGGAAGAACAGGAAGCATAGGAAGGACAACGGAAAAAACGACAAAGGCAGATGGGACACTTGGCAACCTCCTAAAAAAAACTCCAGTGACGATGCATGTGTTTGGCGTTGACACAGGTGTTGGTGATTGGGGAAACCAAGACAAGGAAACCGGAGAGCATAAGAAGGACTGCTTCAGAATATAGCCCCAACAACCTAGACAAACCCTAACCAAAACATAAATCAAGCAAACAATTATCAACAAGGTAAGCATGAACACTTTGACCTAAAATGTCCCAAAAACAGCCCCAGAAAAAAAAAAACATCAAAACCAAGGAACAAACATTGAACATAAACCTAAAAACCATAACTGCCAAAACACCCTCAACAAAACCTACCCTCATCCAAACCAAACATTATCACAACAACCTCAACAAACCATTTAGCAAGATAATCAAAACGAAACAGTCAAACATTTAGATTTACAATATTGAACAAAAACATAACAACCTCCCAACCAACCTCCAACCTCTCTTGTCCTAGTTTCCCCCTTTCACCATTTTTTTCTGGGATTTCATGGGATTTCATGGGATTTCATGGTGATTTAGTGGGATCTAATGGTGATTTTCATGGAGGGGGGTTTAACCTCTGATAAACTGTCACATCACTATGGAAAATCATCATTTGTTAATGGGAAAATCCACGAACTTTCTATGGTCATTTTCAATAGCTATTTTGACATAACCAGAGGGTAGTTTCCGTAAGTCCCCAGGACTTTTCCCATTTTTCTTCTGTGGTTGATCACTATGGTGACCACAACCACGATTCCTGGGATGATCCTCTAAGTATGGCTTAATCATGAACTTTCCCTATCGAAAATAGTCACTTTGATTGGTTGGTGGTTTCAACCCCTCTGAAAAATATGAGTCAATTGGGATCATTATTCCCAATATATGGAAAAATAAAAAATGTTCCAAACCACCAACCAGTTGAAGGTATACCTCATTTTTAGATATCCACTATAGATTTTGGGCAATTGTTGGGCAATCAGATGTGCAACCATTCAGGAATTCGGCAACAGAGTGGAAAGCCGATTTTCAATCATTCGCAAGTGAAAAATTACCACAGATTAAAAACCATGTCCAACCGCTGTAGTTTTGCCGCTTAGATCCTGAATTTACATTCCCGGAATTGTGATTGGAAAAAAAATGCAGGACCCCCCAGGAATTCTTGGCAAGACACAAAAATTTGACTCCTATCTATTTCCCTCACCTAGCCATTGTTGTACAATGTGGTGCCCGAGTTAAAAGTTGGTGTATAACCAAATTAATGATATAGATATATCTACCATAAGTCCTAGTTACTATTGGACTACAATAACCTTTTTGCAACTCATTCACCATACCCAAACGCCTCCTCGCCATTTGCTCTGAATGAGGGACCTGTCCACAGCAACTTGCACGAAGAAAGGATGCGGCGACCTTTTTAACGGCGATGGACCAAATATGGGTACGCTACTTGGTGGCTCATCCCACGGCTCGTAAGTGGGTTATAACCCCAGTTATAAATGGGATTTTTGTAGGGTTAATCCACTGAAATCACTGGGGTTAAAACTTACTTACTAAGTGGGATGAGCCACCAAGTACAATTCAATGCTTATGGACACTATCCATGAAGGTTCCAAATCTTGAACGCTAAGGTGTTGAAATTCACTGGTCGTGAGCAGAATTGTTTGTACCATCCTGGTGTTTTTTTTTTTCTGAGCACAGGATAGCCATAATGTTTCTCTATCAAAATTGTCATTTTCGGGTACAGCTCATTTTCAGACACACCCATGTTTACCACCATTTTAGGAGGCAAATTTTTGCTCCTGACTTCTTTATACACAAGCTGGCTCACCGCTAAGACTTCAGTGAAGTCTTCATCAAATCAGTTAATTGGGACCATTTAGGAGGTGTTTCATATTCGGGGTATGGGTACTGACAATTCAAATCTCACAAAAAGAGAAGCAATAAACAATATCAGGGATGCATCGTGATTCAGGGATTGGTAAATATCCCTTTTTGGGGATTCAAGGAACATCACTTGAAAAAGTACCTGCGGACAAACCACTGCATGAATTTCTTGGATACTGCAAACCAGTCGGACATTTACTCTGGGGCAAAGCTACAACGTAGATGTGGGTGTGTCTGAACATGGGGTATATCCCCAATGATAGCCATTTAACCTGCCCAAATTGCAATAATTCGCGGTAGTTGGGTTCAATTTCATCATTTCCAAACTGAAATAGTTTGACGTCGGGAAATTACGAAATTAACAATTGACGTCGAACTGGTTGTGACCAAATGCAGCTTTCAGGCTCCATCCATGCACTCGAAGGAGTGGTTGCAGTCGGTGGGTTGCAATAGTGCATTGATTTGGTTTCATGGTTTAACAGCAGCTTGGCAGCTTCTTCAATAACAGGAGACACAACAAGCATGGTAGACAGCTGGTTGCTGGGGCGATTGCAATGACCGGCTCTGCTGTGACTTGTTAGGACTGACACAGCTGCGGTTCTGAAGGGTGAAGCAGTGTCAAGCGCAGAATTTCTAATCGCCTATGTTTTTTAGTCACTTCAGCCCCACAAAGCTCAAAAACATAGGCGGTTTGAAATTTGAGGTCATAGCTTATTGATTTCGGTAGCCGCTATAGCTTCATTCCAGAATCGAACTCAAGCAAGTTGGCTCGAGAGTGTGAAGTGCTACCAACTGAGCTATAGAGGCTCTGGCTAAAGTAACAAAGATGAAAACTAAGAAGCAAGGAGAACGCAGTGCTGTGGCCAGGGCTTGAGTCTTTGTCCTCTTTCAGACTCCATGCAACACAACGAGGCTCACCCGTTCTGCCGGGGGGAGCAGGGTCTCGTGCAGGGTCTTGAGACCAAGGTGAGCAAGGACACATGATTAGTCTTAGACCCCCCGCACGAGACCCCGCTCCCCCGGTAGAACGGATGAGCCTTACGGTGCCTCTTAGCAGGGTCAACCCACGACAGCTAGCTGCTTCCAACATGGGACACTATGGTAACACCATGGAAAAGGGAGGGAGAGGGAGAGAGAGAGAGAGAGAGTGTCAGTCCTAACAAGTCACAGCAGAGCCGGTCATTGCAATCGCCCCAGCAACCAGCTGTCTACCATGCTTGTTGTGTCTCCTGTTATTGAAGAAGCTGCCAAGCTGCTGTTAAACCATGAAACCAAATCAATGCACTATTGCAACCCACCGACTGCAACCACTCCTTCGAGTGCATGGATGGAGCCTGAAAGCTGCATTTGTTCTTACTTGAAGCCCCCAACAAAGCAGGTTTGCACAAAATGACACACAAAGCTTATTTCCAACAGTTAGGTCCTAATTCGGAGGTGACGTCGAGTGACGTCGTTATAATTTGACCAGATTTAATAGGGAACATGATCTTTAACTGGTTGGTGGTTTCAACCCCTCTGAAAAATATGAAAGTCAGTTGGGTTGATGACATTCCCAATAGATGGAAAGTCATCAAATTCCATGGTTCCAAACCACCAATCCATTAAATCAATTAAATCCATTAAAATCCATTATTATCCATTAAACCACTATAATCCATTATTCCCAACTGAATAAGGAACATCATAAAATTCATTTACGGCTACACATCATTTTCCGACCATTCCCCATGGGCTTTTCCACATCGCCAGGGCGCTGGAGCTTGGCCTCAGCGGGAAACAAGTTCCTTGTCGGTGAGCTAAGTTGGGAATTAGATTGATGGCTTTTCAATGTATATATATATAATTATCATAATATATATAATTATCAAATTATATATATGGCTATAATATGATTATAATATAATATATAATTAAAATATAACATATATATAATTATATGTATATATATATAGAATTATAATATAACATTTATATATATATATATACTTAGGGTAATAAACCGACCTTGTACTGGGGGGTCAACCGTCGAGATTCCAGAGATTTCTTTGGTTGGGTGAAAATGATGCCAGAAGCTGTGGTTGGACAATTATATACCATCTGGTTATTTAACATAGCCATGGAAAATCACCATTTTTAATAGGTAAACCATCTATAAATGGGCATAAATGGGCCATTTCCCATGGCTATGTTAAATAACCAGAGGGTACCTAAATCTATAGCCGGCATATAAGCCATATATGACGGGGTATAATAGAGTTACTAGCCACTTACTGGGATGCACCCTCCAATAAAGGCAACAAGAACCAGTAACAAGATGCAACAATGTATGCTGGTTGGTGGTTGACCTACCCCTCTGAAAAATATGAGTTCGTCAATGGGAAGGATGACATCCCATATATGATGGAAAATAAAATTCATGTTTGAAACCACCAATCAGTATACCTCCTTTTCCCTCTGATTCCATCGAGCTTGATCATCCCAAATACTTATTTATTTTTCTATTTGGCAGAGGATGGAAAGCAACACAGCCATTTATATCATTTATAAGGGTCAAACTTGGTCAAACAGTCAAACATGGTCAAGTTACCTTGTACCCCGTTTGTTCACGTTAAACAATAGCTGGGAGTTCTAAATGTTCCCTGTGAAATCACGGGTCACCCCGTGGACCCCACGGCACCGTTCTTTTGCCTTTCTACACGGTGGTGCCACCGTTTGATAGCTAAGTTGGTGAACATAGCTCTAATATCTAGTTGATTTGTGGTAGATATATATATATATACACCTAATGTGGTTATAAACCATGTCATAATC